CAGTATTGCATCATACTATGGTTTATGGTTTTAGTTATTACACTTTTTAGAGCAGCTGGAAAATAGACTAGTATTAAATAGGAGCTATATAAAATAGTATAAAATAGTATGGTACTCACATGAGTATCCATATACATGAGTACCTTCCCCCGGTGTTTTCCGTTTCTTCCATCATGTTACAGTCTGTGTTCAAAACTTAGCTGACAGTTCACCACCTGTTAATGAGAGCTTAAAATTACAGTATTAAATATCACGGCATATCTATGTATGTTTTTATGTTTCTTAACTTTGCATTGGCCTAGGGGCACTGTGAGGACCAATACCTATATGGGATACAGATTTTTTATAGAAATTACACAATTGTATATATTTGGACATTCGACAGTTGAGTCGAGCATCGAATTGCGTCACACTGCAATGATCGCAGCGTATGTTTTTGTATGCCTCCTTTACACTGGCGCACGACCTTTGCAGATGAAAATGAAAAAAAAAATGTCCATTTTAATCACGTGTGAAATGACTGATTGGAAATTTTCATCTGTGAGGTTCGTTGTGCAATTTGATGTTTTCCTGCCCCCTGCTGGTATCGTACCCCTCTAACAGGTCAACACATATCGAGGGTTGTAGTCCCTTGTATAATAACGCTGTTATAAATGCTCGGATTTGCTTTTTTATGTTCTTAGCTGGCCATATTATATAGCAGACTCCAGTGTATAATATCTATTGTATAGAACGGCTTATTTTACTCTATTGAAAGATTAAATATGAATGTTATTGTTTTGTTCGCTTGCATGTACATGTGCCTGGTCAAAAGTCACTGTTGTTGCAGACTGATGCCAACAGCTATGCAGGCAATTTTTTTCATTACCGCCTTTGGAGATGCCTTTGAGCAAGACCAATACCACTAATGAGATTTATAAGTTTAGGTGATGCTTTTAACTAAGTGGTGTCTAACTCGAATAGAAGTAGTGCACTGTACTTCAAGTACTCCGTCATATATAAAAGTCCTGCATCCACAAAGTTTCTTATTAGGAAAATAGACCCAAAGTATTAAAAATGATAAAGCATTCAATGCAGAATAACGGCCACAGATTTTAAAACATTCATTATCAGGCATGACATACCCATCATCAGCAAAGAGTCATATGACGCCACTATGAGTCACAGAATAGTTTAATTGCACTTCATATTTCGATCACTTTTTCCACCGAGGTTTTGACACCGTTTTAACT